GCAATTTATCACGCGAAATCAAAAGTTACGTATTTGGTGAAAAAGTTGGTTGATAAGCTTGATAAGTCGAAAAATTTGGTGCTAATTTAGAGTCTGTTTGGTGATTATGTTTTTCAACTAATCATGTTTACCAACCAATTTTTTCACTAAACACGTAACTTTTGATTTCGCGTGCTGACTTATATAAAAATAATAAAATGGATGGTTTAAGTTACTTTTCTAGCGATATTTAGCTATTTTTATACATAATTTTTTCTAAATATTTTAGGGAGTATGTATTTTCAATTGAATCCACCGGAACAGCCCGTCTATTATCAAACCGGTTCTTAATTCCGGTTCTTTATCGCCGACTACTCTTGCGGTCTTGCCACCTCAATTTCCAATCCCACCCTCCTTCTTGTTGGACCATAAAAACCCTAAATCTTCAAGATCAGGGAACAAAGCAAGTTAATTCATGCCGTTTTGTTTGTTTTGATGTTTTCTCTAAGCGCTTCCCGAGTATACTAACCGCGGAATCCAAAGAGTGCGTTCTGCGATTTTGGTTCAAGTATAAGAATATAAATCCAAGCATATGTAGATTTAAAGAAAGGGATGCGAGCTTGCGGGGAGAAGATTTTGTGAAAATATGGATGATTCTGGAGATGAAGGAAGGTACTCACATAAGCCCAGTTCTGTCTACAGCCTTTCTTCTCGATCAAGACGCACAATTACGAATCCTAGCTCTTATCCTAGAAATGGCAATTATAATAAGTACAAGAACGAGTATGAATATGATGATACTGAAGACTCTGATGAAGGAGAAGATGATCCAGAGTTCAATGGAGCTGAGAATGGGTACGATATCAGGAACAAGAAGAAAAGAAAGATGGAATCTTTAGTATCAAATTACGAATTCGCCCCTCGTACTGCGGGTAATTCACAAGGACCTGCCATGCGAGGCAGTGGGAGTTCGAGGGGGTGGAGTGAGGAGGATAGTTTTATGCTGTTGGATGTGTGGGGCGAGAGATATTTGGAGTTGGGGAGGAGGAGCTTGAGGGGTGAGGATTGGGTGGATGTGGCAGAGAAGGTGTCAGAGATGATTGGGGTGGAGAAGGGTGAGATTGACTGTAGGAATCAGTTGGATGTGTTGAAGAAGAAGTACAAGAAGGAGAGGGAGAAGATGGAGAAAATGGGTGGTGCGTTTTCAAGCAAATGGTCTTTTTTCAAGAAAATGGATGTATTAATGAACTTGAGGATGAAAGGGCATTGTGGGTTGGGTTGTGGAGTTGATTCCGGGGAATATGTTTTTATGGACCCTCGAATGTACTTAGACAGGTCGAACGTGATGGATGAGATGAGGGACAGTCCTGCAGGGTCAGACATAGAAAATGAGGAAGGGAAAGAAGAGGTGGGAGGGGAGGCAGGATGGGGAGAGGAAGATGAGGAATCTGCCAAGCTGTTAGCAGAGTCTATTCAAAGGTTTGGGGATATATATGAGAAGATTGAGAACAGCAAGAGGAAACAAATGATGGAATTGGAAGAGATGAGGTGGGATTTCCAGAGAGACTTGGAGATGCAAAAGAAGCAAATTGTTGAGAGGGCACAGGCTGAAATTGCAAAGATAAGGGATTCAGATGGTAGCAGCGGGGATGATGGTGATGGTGAGGATGATGGTGATGACAACCACAAGAGTGATTACGATGATGATGGGGATGGTGATGATGATGGTAATGATGATGATGATGAAGATGATGATGAGGATAATGTTTCAACTGAGAAGCTGAATGGGTGACGCAGGTAACTCCATATTTGGTTATGAGTGTTTACTATAGAGTATAGACCTTTAAAGTATTGATTATGTTCATGTGAAAAGATACATCATTCTCTTGTGTGTTGTGGCATATGTCCTTTCAAGTCTCTGTTTGTAGTATTTAGAGTTAATTGTTCATATAATAAGACAAACTATGATCTTTGTTGAAATCAAAATCCACATTGAGGCCTTGCATTCGTAAGTGCTAGGGCCCATGATAGGAATCTTGCTCAATCCCTTAATTGTCTGATTTTCGTCTTTCATATATAGTGTAGGATAGCTTGTTTTAGTTGTTAATGAAAAGTTGAACTTTTCTTTTTCGTGCATGTTTTCACATGTTTTCTGAAAGTGTGGAGCATACTATTGCATGTTTTGTGTGCGTATCATGTGTTATTTATCATTAAATATAAGTCAATACACAGATTTTGGTCCTAACCAAAATAGATAAGTTTTGGGGGGAAGGATGGCACTTCATCCCTGAGGGCCCGGAACTGGCCAGACGGTTATTGGGAGGATGTAAATTGAGCTTTAGTTACAGACTAGTAGAGAGGGTGGGGTTCCAGCCTAGGTCTTAGTGAGTGGGTTGGTAATTCCTTTGAAGGCTTATCAGGGATGTACCCATTGATAACTTGTTCAACTACTTTGTTCTTCAGTTTAGAGATTAACTAGTGATGCCAGAGTATGAAATGAATAACTTTAAACATGTGTTGTATTTTGGGGGAATTTGAGTTTGCACTTCATTTTATTGTCCAAATTGGATTTTGCACCCTGTTTTGAAATAAACTTTGTTTTTGCACCCCCAACTCATTATGAAAAGACAAAAATGCCCCTCCATTAGCCATTCTGTTAGCCTTCAACATATTCCTGATCGAGGGGCATTTTTGACTTTCCATATGGAGCTGGATGCCAAAACAAAGTTTTTAAAAAATGAGGTGCAAAGTCCAATCTGGACAATAAAAAGGGGCGCAAACTCAAATTTCTCCTTGTATTTTAAGTTGTTGGGTTTGTGTGTGTATAATGAGTTTGAACAAATGTTCAAAATTGATTTACTGGCCTCCAAAACTTTCAGCGCTTTCAAGTCTTAGAGTAGCAGACATTAATTAGTCATATTCCTAAATCTGTGAGAGCTTTAGTCATCACATTTTTTAAATTGCTCTCCCTCCGTATGACGGCATCCCTACATAACTTCATCCCCACTGCTAGAACTATAGTCCCTTTAATCTCTTCATCTTCGTTGATGAAAGGAAGGGCCTTATTACTTTAATTAAAGCAAGGTTTGGTTTTTCTGTTCGTCGAAAGTGTTTATGTTGTTTAAGAACACCTAGTGTAAATCTTACATTTTTTCACCTTTTATCTCTGCATCAAGTTCAATCCCCAACTGTGGGTTGATTTTTCTTTATGTTGTGCAGGTTGAAGTTGGAACTTGGAAGAAGCCAGTTAGAGAGCCATAGACATTCGTTCTTCAGCAACTTCTTTTGTACTTTATGCAACTAATGGACAAATCATAATGAGTACTGCATAAATTGGATTTTGTTGGTCGATTCATATTATTATGACGGATGAAGTTCATAGTAGTTTAAGTGCCCATTTTCGTAGCTTGGTATAATGGTATTTCTACTTGCCAGAGAATATTTTTACCGAACACCAACTTAATTGATGCCTTGATGATTGAATCCGCTACTAATGAGAAAACAAGTAGGCGATAATGGACTTTTGTTTACAGTGGATCGAGAATCTTAATAGGTAAAAATGCTGTAATTGTTATTGTCAAGGAATTTTTTTTATTACAAGACTGGTAAAGATGCTCTAATTGCTTGTATCGACAGCAATCACTTAACTTTTTTTTAAAAAGCTGCGACAAATTTATACTATCGTATGTATCTTACATTATACGGGGGAAATTGAAATTCGTTTTAGCAGAAATATCAAATTGGAAAGATTGCATGTGAATTTCATAACGCTAAAGTTTCAAATTATTCAAATTGGACTCAAATTGGATAGTGTGATTATATGTAAACAATTTAATGCTTTTTGTCCTTTTTAGACAACACCCTTCACGATAATCCATCTTCCATCAATGAAATTAGTTAATAATCTTGTGGGAAATTGTTCTAAATAGGACTAAAAACGTTTGTGTATTCTAAAATAGGACTTTCATGTTTTTATTCTCTAAATATGAGAAATTATTGACATGTTTTTGCCGTACCAAACTTTAAACATAGCATTATTTTCCAAATTTGACATTAATTGCTCCTATTTGGGGAATAAAAACATGACAGTAGTCTTGGCCTGGGTCCGGCCTGACTGCCTTCCCGGTCGAATTTTGAGCTGAAATTTGGTATGGACAAACTAGACTTGATGAGGAACATGCTCAAAAAATTTCATAAAAAAATTTCATCAAAAATTTCATCAAACAGTAAAGTTCGGACGGTCCCTCCCGTCCCTCCGGAGGGACCTGATCTTTTCTGTATATATATATATATATATATATATATATATATATATATATATATATATATATATATGGGGTGAGATCACATACTAACCATTCCTCCCATGCTAACCTACAAACTATCAAAAACGGTGCATTTTTACATTATTTGTACTGCATATTGAAGTTCAAAGTGTTGCATATTATTTGTACTGCATATTAAAGTTCAAAGTTTTGCATATTGTTTTTATTGCATATTGAAATTCACAGTGTGCATCTTTACATTATTTGTACTGCATATTGAAGTTCAATGTGTTGCATATTATTGAGTTAGTAAGTTAGTATTTTAAGCATGGTTAGTATGTGATCTCTTATCTATATATATATACCTGACCGGAGCCCCGTCCGGCCTCCTCCATTTGGGGGCCTTCCCGGTGGTATTTTTTGCTCAAATTTTTTGTGTAGGTTTCTCATCAAGTCTAGTTCATCCATACCAAATTTCAGCCAAAAGTTCAATCGGGAAGGTCGTCAAATGATTTTTGCAAGTTAACTGGTCCGAAAAATACATATTCCGGACCAGTTAACTTGAAAAAATCATTTGACGACCTTCCCGATTGCATTTTTGGCTGAAATTTGGTATGGATGAACTAGACTTGATGAGGAACCTACACAAAAAATTTGAGAAAAAAATACCACCGGGAAGGCCCCCAAATGGAGGAGGCCGGACGGGGGGGGTGGTCCGGCCTGGCCGGACCTGAATAGTTGTATATATATATATATGGGTAATGCTAAGGTAAGGTAGGCCTAAGAATTACAATTCTTAGGCCTCTTTTATTTGAGGTGCTTCCGGGTTGAATTTTTTGATGAAATTTTGTAAGCATGTTCTCCATGGATTGAAGATTATGTCCACCAAGTTTCACAATAAAATTCAATCTGGAAGTCATTTAAATAAATTATTTATAAAAAATTGCATTTTATATATGTAAAACCCTGCACAATTTTGAAAAAATTATTTAACCGTCTTCCCGATTGAATTTTAATCTGAAATTTGGTGGGCATAGTCAACACTTCATGGAGAACATGCTCACAAAATTTCATCAAAAAATATGACCGGGAAGCACCTCAAATGAAAGAGGCCTAAGAATTTCAATTCTTAGGCCTACCTTACTTGAACATTTTCCTATATATATATATATATATATGGTGTGTAGCATATAATGGGCACACAACTATTTTTTACCCAAGGAAGTAGGGTGTCGAACCACAGAGAAGCGGGAAATAAAATAATTAAGCACAAACTAAGGATTAAAGTTGGAAGTGCGTTTCTTTTGATTTTTTTTTGGTTGCTTGGAAAAGTAATAAAATAAAAGTGATTGAGATGAGAGATTTTTATCAACACAAAGTTCAACCAATAGCAAGTAGGGGTAGAAATTGGTAACTAATTGTTCAATGTTTAATTGAAAGAAATAATTGCTAATTTTATTCGTAGATAGATTGTGAGAAGTTGTGGATAAGTATTTTAGGACCCAACACAAGTCATCTAAAATAAGTAACTAGTCAACATTTCCCAGTGATGGCCAAAACGAGACTAGTTGTTTAAGTGCAACGACAACCTTAATTATTAACTATATTATTTACCCAACCCCGTGGTGTAAATAATATAATTAAATAATTAAATTCCCCCGTAAAACTTCAATCCGGGACAAGGTAAAAGAAGTTTAACGGTGTGTTCAGAAAGTGTTCATTTGTGTATTTAACAAACAATATGTTTATGATTGAGTACTCATAATATATATCACAAACATAACTTAATTAATTTTCTGGACACAACAATCTAAATAGAACAAACTTAACAATTAAAATCAATACAAATTAAAACATGATAAGAACAATTAATTAACCAATTTCTAGCCCCAAATTTATTTAGCTATACATGTTTGGAAGCATAGAAATAGATGAATCCATAATTAAAGTACAAGATTTAATGAGATAAGGAAGATCAAACTTGTGATAGATGACAATCCTTGAAGCTTTGGTGCTAATCTTGACTTAATCTTGGATAAGGAAGTGATTAGTTGTGGTTGAAGATGGGTTGATGATTTGGAAGTGAAGAATGAAGAGAGAAGGAGGAGGAAATGATTCTGGGAGGTGTAGAGAGAAGTTGGCTCGAGATTATGTGTGGAAGGAGATGGATTAAGCCATATAATGATAAGATAATTAATCATTAATCTGCAGGAATTTACGGAAGTGAAGAGTATATGTACAAGAAAACGCAGTATTGTTCCAACAGTGCGTAGTAGCTCAGTGGACGAGTGTCTTATGGGAATGCTCGAAGGTCACGGGATCCATTCTCAGCTTCAACATTTTGTTCTTCTTTTCTTTGCTGCGTTCAGAAGGAATATAAGAATTGCCAGCTGACTTTTAGCAATAGTGACAATTGGTTCGCTGGTTGATTCCATCTGCTATCTTTCCAATGACCTGGGTTCGAATCCCAGAGGTCTTTTTTTACTTTCCTTCTCTTTTCTCCAATTTTTCTTCTCATTTGCTTTCAAAGGAACTTCTCTTTTATTAACCTTCAACTAGAACTTTTATTTTCTTCTTTTTATCACACTCAAATGTGTCCAAGTAGCATCAAATATACCTGAAAATATAAAATACCCGTATAGAACTGCACTAATACAAACTAACGACAAATAATAAAAATATGTACAAAAGTAGAACTTTAATAACTAAAATTAACAACAAACTAAGCTTAAAAAGTGTGTAAAATATGAGCACATCAAATCCCCCACACTTAGGCTTTTGCTTGTCCTCAAGCAAAATAAACAACAAACACAAAAATATACACAATTTGGTAAAATTTACAAACATAACTAAACAAATCACACATACACCTCTAATGTCCACTAAACGGTCCAATACCCTGAAATGTCACAAAATAACTCAATGAGAGTAAACCGAGTATTATTGCCTATCACTAAGATTTTCAAATCAAACTTTTAACACAAACACCTATAGATCTGAATTAGTTCGGGTTATGCAGAACAAGTTTCTCCAATTAACATAATTCAAAAAATGACACAAATAGATCAATTAGGACTTTTCGGGTTTTGGCGAGGTTAATGATGTGGCTAGTGGAAAGAAAGGTTTGGTGTAGGGATTTACAAAAGAGTTAGATTGCACTTATACTGAGCGGATAATCACATGAATTTACAAGAACTTGGAGCATACAAAACAATGAGAAATATAAACATGAAAAGGAAGTAAAAATGGGGTTTTACAGAAGAAATCACAACAAGAAATTAATGTGCCTCTTTGTTTTTGTTTTTTTTTTTGTTTTTTTTTTTCTTTTTTTTTCTTTTTTTTTCTTTTCTTTTTTTTTTTTGAACTTTTTTTTAAGAAGGCACACACTAAATATTACAATGAAAAACTAACCCCAAAATTTACAAACAAATATGTACATCACTAATATGACACTTAACAGAAGCTCCATTTTATCCACTCTCAAGTAACAATACAAACTACTCTAGGGTTGAAACAAAAATGACTTGGGTAGGATTTCACAAGGTTATGTATTTACAAGGTCACAAGAAAAATTAGTAACAAGTGAAGTAAGTTATTTTACACTTGTACACTGAAAAGGCTCAAACAGGGTTACTAGGGGAAGTGTTATTTATTTACAAAGGGATAGTGTTTGGCTTGATGGGTAAACAAAGATGGCCTAAATCATTTCTACTGTGTCAACTTCAAATCAAATTTTCAAGGAGAATAAATGTATAAACATCTTAAACTGCATAAACTTTCACTAATTCAACTATTAAACCAATAAATTGGAAAAATAAAATCTAAGGTGTTTAATGTTAAATTGTTAAAAAGAATCAAGTTCAAAGCTCATACTAAGTTACTCTCAATCAAATTACAGTGACACTTCTCAAACTCAAACCACATTTCGTCAAAAGAGATGAATGAATAATTTAAAAAATTATGGAGGTAACTAGTAACAAAAAGTGTAAACTAATGTGTTGCTGATCTATTGTTGCATTTTGGACAAGAATGGTCTTTATTCACAAGAAAACACACAAAATAAAAATAAAACAAAATCACACAAGCACACAAGAAAAAAAAAACATATTCACACAAGAAATCAGGGTTGAACTACCCACTCCCCCACACTTAAAATTTGCACTGTCCTCAGTGGAAAAGAAATTAAAGGAGTGTAAAGAAAACTTCCCTGAAGTGCGGCCGAATCTGGAATTGTTTATCCGCATGACGTTTGGAGATCCCTTTGAGCGGATGTGGCCCCTTTAGAGTCCAAAGAAATAAAGAAAACCTAGACTAATCTTTTTTTTTTTGACTTTTTTTTGTTTTTTTTTTTTGAGAAATTTACAAACTTGGGTTGCCTCCCAAGAAGCGCTCGTTTAAGGTCATTAGCTTGACCCATGCCTTTCATTCATATTCTGGATCAATGAGGCAATACACAGAAGTTGCCTCTTGTCTCTCACTTTGGGTGCTTTTCCTTTGATATTCAAGGATTGATCTTCAAGATTAAGCACTTCAAATTTAAGTGCTTTAGGCATTGGTAAAAATATGCTTTGCAACATTTCGAGACATAAATTCACCATTTCATTGGCTTGCTCATCTTCAATAGATTCGTGTATGGTGTACTCCATGGGATCTTTGGAAAGCCGATACGACTCATCAAATGTGTTAGTAGTACAAGAGTCTATAACATCAGCATAGTAACCATCAAGGACACAAGGTGTATCCTTACTCAGCTCTTTTACATTGAATTCGATCTTATCATCCCCAATCTCAAGGATAAGGGTACCCTTTTTGACGTTTATAATTGCTCCTGCCGTAGCTAGAAAAGGTCTCCCGAGAATAACAGGAACTCGAGCATCTTCTTCCATATCCAAGACAACAAAGTCTCCTGGGATATAATACTTGTCAATTTTGATAGGAACATCTTCAAGAATGCCGATAGGATATTTGACAGATCGATCAGCCAATTGTAATGCCATTGTTGTTGGTTTGGGATCCCCCAAGTGTAGCTTTTGACATAGTGAATAAGGAATTAAGCTGACACTTGCACCAAGATCACAAAGAGCTTTGTTAACTTTGGATCCACCAATGGTACATGGAATTGAGAAGCTTCCAGGATCACGTAACTTCGGTGTGATCTTATTTTGGATGATGGCACTGCATTCTTGACTCATTGCAACAGTAGCTGGATTCTCCTTCTTCTTTGTGAGAATATCTTTGAGAAATTTAGCATATGAAGGAATTTCTGTAATGGCATCAAGCAAAGGAATTGAGATATCCAATTGCTTGATAACATTCAAAAATTTAGTTCTCCGCTCCTCCATATTAGCTTTCTTCAATCTGTTCGGATAAGGAACTGGGGGAATGTATTTCCTTACCGGACTTTCTCTTTGTTTCTTTGATCCTTCATGGTCATCAGTTGATTTCGGCATGGTACCGACATCATGTTCATTGTTGTTGTTTCCACCTTTCTGTTGTTGCACGATCCCTTCCTCCAACATTTCATGTTCTTGTTCATCATTAGAAAGGGGCAAGGATTGATGTTGTTTCCTACTCCGAGTAGTGACAACATTGATTTGCTCCCTCGGGTTTTCGGGGCAAGCAGGGAGCTTACCCGTCACCTTAGTCGATGATGTGGATGCTTGATTAGCAATTTGATTCTCAAGCATCCTGTTGTGAGCCCGGAGTTGACCAAGTTCTTCAGTGATTTGTTTCAGGGTTTCAGCTTGAGATAGTTGGGACTTGAGAAGTTGGTCAACAATGTTTTCTAGGACGGGAGTTTGGGTTGTTTCAGGAGTGGGAAGAAGTGGTTTTTGTTGTTGACTTGAAGGGTATGGAAGATTTTGAGTGGGTTTATATTGTTGCTGGTTCACAATACCTTGGCCACCTCTGAATTGTTGTTGTTGATTTTGGAAACCTGGTGGTGCACTTCGGTAAGTTTGTTGTGGATTAGCAGCTCCATTTTGATTGCTCCAGGAAAAACCGGGATGGTTTCTTCCTTGAGGATTGAAATTACCAAACTGATTTTGTTGGGGCTGCGTATTGTAGTTGACATAGTCAACTTGTTCCATTGATCCCCATGGACAAGTGGACTGATTGTGTTGTCCACCGCAAGATCCACACATAAGAACGGGAATAGGAGTTGGTGTTGATGCAGGGTTTTGCACAAGAGAGACTTGTGCCATCTTTTGGATCAGAGTCATAATGTTATCGACCTTTGTGGTTATGGTCGACATTTGATCAACTTCGTGCATGCCTCCAATTTTTGGTGGAGCAGATGATCGCTCAGAATACCATGTTGATCCATTTGATGAAATGCGCTCCATCAATTCTTCTGCCTCTTCAAGTTCCAGGCACATGAATGATCCATTTGCTGACGCGTCCACAAGTATCCGAGAATTTTCACTTAGGCCTTCATAGAAAGCAGTCATCAAGTGCCAGTTTTGGATGTTATGATGTGGACACTGTCGCTGGAGATCTTTGAATCTTTCCCAAGCCTCATAGAGGGGCTCATTGGGATTTTGTTTGAAATTTTGAATCATTCTCCGGATTTTCGCCGTTTTAGATGGCGGAAAAAATCTTTTGAGAAATTCACCATGAAGTTGATCCCAAGTGGAGAAGTGATTGTCTGGAAAAGAGTCAAGCCAACTCTGAGCTCGATCCCGTAGAGAGAATGGGAATAGGCGTAGTCTGACAGCATCAGATGGCACACCATTGATTTTGAAGGTGTTGCAAGCTCGAAGGAACTTTGTGATGTGATTATTTGGATCCTCCGTTGGCGCTCCGCCAAATCGATCATTTGAAACCATGTGGATGATAGCAGGCTTGATTTCAAATTGGTTCATGTTAACCTCCGGTGGAATAACACTGTCATGCTCATCCACGGGAGGCGTAACATAATCATACAACGGTTTCCTGGTCCTTGTAAGCTGATCCACGATTTGTTGATCTGGTTCCTGCTCATTTACAACAACATCGTTTGACATTTTTTTTTATTTTTTTTCTGTTCACGTATGTGCTTTTCAATGTCAGAGAAGAATAACAATTCACAATTTTCACCACGTGAACGTGTAAGCATAAGCAGAAGGGAATCGGGATTGGGAAAAGAGAGAAAGAGAGAGATGAAAAGAAAAGAAAAATTGCGGAATTAATTAATTAATTAAGGTTCGCACGTAGTCAATTGGTATAAACCGAATAAGACTAGTGAGCCCTTAAAGCAGTATTAATATATACAGTAATTCACCAGGATGCGGTAGGGCCGACAGATATGGTGAATTGAGAAGAAGAAAAAAAAAACTACAGTAATAAATACAGTCTCCACCAAGATGCAGCTGTGCCGACAGTCTGGGGATTATTAAGAAATAAATTAAAAAGTGCACGCCACCAACAAGCGGACACGGCCGACAAGCTTGGGGATGCAAAATAAAAAAAATGCTGAAATTAAAGTGCGGAAATTAAATTGCGATAATTAAAGTGCATAAATTAAATTGCGATAATTAAAGTGCAAAAATTAAAAAGTTGGGGTTTTAACCACCATAAAAAGAAAAATAAACGGTCCGACCATATAGGCGGAGTATCCTTTAAATTATTATGTACAAGTAAACGGTCCGACCATATAGGCGGATTATCCGTTGAATTAATATGTACAAATTAGCGGTCCGACCATATAGGCGGATTATCCGTTGAATTAAAATGTGACAATATGTCCAATGGTCCAAATGTCCAGATATATGTTCAGTCAAAGTGTCCAACTCCAATGCTCAGATAAGGTAATTAATCACAGTTCATTTTTTTTTTTTGAACTTTAATTAATCACTCCTATTTTTTTTTGTATTTTTTTTTTTGAACCTGCAAAAGGAAACAAGATAACAACAAAATAATATACACACAATTTACAATAACTAAAACCAAAAGTTCATGCTTTCAATTTTTTTTTTTCAAAACCGCTTCCCCGGCAACGGCGCCAAGTTGGTGTGTAGCATATAATGGGCACACAACTATTTTTTACCCAAGGAAGTAGGGTGTCGAACCACAGAGAAGCGGGAAATAAAATAATTAAGCACAAACTAAGGATTAAAGTTGGAAGTGCGTTTCTTTTGATTTTTTTTTGGTTGCTTGGAAAAGTAATAAAATAAAAGTGATTGAGATGAGAGATTTTTATCAACACAAAGTTCAACCAATAGCAAGTAGGGGTAGAAATTGGTAACTAATTGTTCAATGTTTAATTGAAAGAAATAATTGCTAATTTTATTCGTAGATAGATTGTGAGAAGTTGTGGATAAGTATTTTAGGACCCAACACAAGTCATCTAAAATAAGTAACTAGTCAACATTTCCCAGTGATGGCCAAAACGAGACTAGTTGTTTAAGTGCAACGACAACCTTAATTATTAACTATATTATTTACCCAACCCCGTGGTGTAAATAATATAATTAAATAATTAAATTCCCCCGTAAAACTTCAATCCGGGACAAGGTAAAAGAAGTTTAACGGTGTGTTCAGAAAGTGTTCATTTGTGTATTTAACAAACAATATGTTTATGATTGAGTACTCATAATATATATCACAAACATAACTTAATTAATTTTCTGGACACAACAATCTAAATAGAACAAACTTAACAATTAAAATCAATACAAATTAAAACATGATAAGAACAATTAATTAACCAATTTCTAGCCCCAAATTTATTTAGCTATACATGTTTGGAAGCATAGAAATAGATGAATCCATAATTAAAGTACAAGATTTAATGAGATAAGGAAGATCAAACTTGTGATAGATGACAATCCTTGAAGCTTTGGTGCTAATCTTGACTTAATCTTGGATAAGGAAGTGATTAGTTGTGGTTGAAGATGGGTTGATGATTTGGAAGTGAAGAATGAAGAGAGAAGGAGGAGGAAATGATTCTGGGAGGTGTAGAGAGAAGTTGGCTCGAGATTATGTGTGGAAGGAGATGGATTAAGCCATATAATGATAAGATAATTAATCATTAATCTGCAGGAATTTACGGAAGTGAAGAGTATATGTACAAGAAAACGCAGTATTGTTCCAACAGTGCGTAGTAGCTCAGTGGACGAGTGTCTTATGGGAATGCTCGAAGGTCACGGGATCCATTCTCAGCTTCAACATTTTGTTCTTCTTTTCTTTGCTGCGTTCAGAAGGAATATAAGAATTGCCAGCTGACTTTTAGCAATAGCGACAATTGGTTCGCTGGTTGATTCCATCTGCTATCTTTCCAATGACCTGGGTTCGAATCCCAGAGGTCTTTTTTTACTTTCCTTCTCTTTTCTCCAATTTTTCTTCTCATTTGCTTTCAAAGGAACTTCTCTTTTATTAACCTTCAACTAGAACTTTTATTTTCTTCTTTTTATCACACTCAAATGTGTCCAAGTAGCATCAAATATATCTGAAAATATAAAATACCCGTATAGAACTGCACTAATACAAACTAACGACAAATAATAAAAATATGTACAAAAGTATAACTTTAATAACTAAAATTAACAACAAACTAAGCTTAAAAAGTGTGTAAAATATGAGCACATCAATATATATATATATATATATATATATATATATATATACTCCTCCGTTCTTTAATAAGTGCAACACATTCCTTTTTCGGAAGTTTCAAATTAAATGCAACCTTTCTATTTTGAGAAAGAAACATTAGGCAAATTTCCTTCTATACCCTTAATTGTTTACGCACAATCCGATCTTTACCTACTTTATCTGACACTTTCTTCTACCTTCTCCATTCACCGCCATCCACCAATTCCAATTTCATCCTGCTTACAGCCTCTCCATCTTCCGTTTTATCTTTTCATCTGCTCACCCAACCAAAATTACTTTCATCTTCCCACCATCATCTACTTTCATCACCAACTCAACCGTTTCTCTAATTCTTTTCGTATCATCTTCATCTTTAATTTTTTTTCCTCTGGTTAGTATTTTAGTTACCGTCGAAATGGAAGACATGGATGTCGATGAAACCGATTTTGCTCCTGTTACGAGAATATGCTTGAGGCTTTGTGAATTAATGCTTTGGTTAATTATGAGGGGCCATGGATTCTGATTCGACTTGGAATTATTGTTTGTAGCCGATAGACTATTTCAGCAGTTGAAGAATTACCTATACTTCGCCGGACGGCCGGACCTGTAACCGAAAATCATCTTACCTCTCGTTTCTCACTTCTTAGCACCGACCCTCCTGTTCTTGCTTGAGGAATTTTTTTTGGACTTTGTCGACTGTTGTCCACTATTACACACTGTAGCAATTTATTTGGGCAGCTGTGGTTTCCGTATAATGAAGGGTAAAAGTGGCAAGTTCAACACTAATTCATTGCCTCTTAAAATCCGTGCCCAAGTGCATGTTGCACTTAAAACCGAACAGAGGAAGTATATATATATATATATATATATATATATATATATATATATATATATATATATATATATATATATATATATATATATATATATATATATAGAGTCCCGTTCCTATCAGGGGAGCTCCTGAAGAGAAGCCCCGTGCGGACAAGCCCATCAGAGGGTCTTCCCGGTGGAATTTTTTGATGAAATTTTTTGAGCATGTTCCTCATCAAGTCTAGTTTGTCCATACCAAATTTCAGCTCAAAATTCGATCGGGAAGGCAGTCAAATAAATCCGGGAAACATACTGCACTTTATATGTGCGCAGAATGAGCCATAGTTTTCCAGGATTTATTTGACTGCCTTCCCGATCGAATTTTGAGCTGAAATTTGGTATGGACAAACTAGACTTGATGAAGATCATGCTCAAAAAATTTCATCAAAAAATTCCATCGGGAAGACCCTCTGATGGTCTTGTCCGCACGGGGCTTCTCATCAGGAACTCCTGATGTGAACTGCCCTCTATATATATATATATATAGTCCTCTTCCGGTCAGGTATACCTGAACGGAGCCCCGTCCGGCCTCCTCCATTTGGGGGCCTTCCCGGTGGTATTTTTTGCTCAAATGTTTTGTGTAGGTTCCTCATCAAGTCTAGTTCATCCATACCAAATTTCAGCCAAAAATTCAATCGGGAAGGTCGTCAAATGATTTTTGCAAGTTAACTGGTCCGGAAAATACATATTCCGGACCAGTTAACTTGCAAAAATCATTTGACGACCTTCCCGATTGAATTTTTGGCTGAAATTTGGTATGGATGAACTAGACTTGATGAGGAACCTACACAAAAAATTTGAGCGAAAAATACCACCGGGAAGGGCCCCAAATGGAGGAGGCCGGACGGGGGGAGTGGTCCGGCCTGGCCGGACCTGAATAGTTGTGTGTGTGTGTGTGTGTGTGTGTGTGTATATATATGGAAATTTCAACGGAATGATATGGATTATGGAAATTTCCTGTTATGGAGGCATGATACAGGAAAAAAAAGCTTAATTGATCTTTTCAGAAAGAATCTGCCTGGAATCATTTGTTGGTTCATCTGGAAAACCTATTCGAGTATTATTTGGGGAAATGGAGGAGACAGTCCCAATCCTGATAAAATTATCCTTCAAATTAAGCTTTACACTCAAACCTGGATTTCTGGTATTTCTATTTCAACATACAGAGAAATTGGGAACGTTTTAGCGGATGAAGGGCTTATTCCCAGAAATTTTACAAATCAACATTTTAGGATGCAGATAATCAAGTGGGTCAAGCCAAGAAAAAAGTGTAAGCTTAATGTGGATGCTAGCTACTTATCTGGGAATGCATTTGGCGGAGCTATTATGCGTGATGAAAATGGAGGTTTGCGGTCGGCGATCAGTTTTCCGGTGCAGGCTTCATCTCCCTTGGATGCTGAACTCCGTGCGATATTCTTTGCAGTAGATTGGGCGATTGACCTTGGTTTTGAAAGCTTTCAGGTAGAAACAGATTCAGCTCTTGCTCTGAAGTATATCGAGGGTAAGGCAGGTCGCAGATGGGAAGATAGAATTCAGGCAACTACACAGATTTGTTTTAGTAAGCGGATCACATTCAGACATACCTTGCGGGAAGGTAATTGGGCCGCTCACCACTTGGCCCAAATTGCAGTGGACAGTCCGAAAATTTACTCTCAGATTGATCAGCTTCCCATTTTTGTTAAACGTTCTTATTGGATGGATTTTTATGGCATTCCTTCTTTTAGATACTGAACTCTTGTTGTTTTATTATTTATCGGGTAAGGTTTGGTCCCCTCGAATTTCTTTGTACTGAATTCTCATTAATAAAACTTGGTAAATGTTCCCCTGGCATTTACCCCACTGATTTTGGTGGTTGACCTTCCGGGTAAAATATATTATATATATAAACAGGCCCGAGAATTTCCCTTATTTTTCCTTCGATTTTGTTGTACCTCAAAATAATTTAGTTGATGGGTTTAGAGATATAGAATGTATGATTAGATGTCTCAATTAAGAAAATCTCATATATATCATAATGTAATTTGTAATTAAGTTATTTGATTCAAGTTAACAAATCAATATTCTCAAAGTTCCATAAATGTCGAATTAAATAAACAGTCTAAAACTATCTTCAACTTAATGTGAGATTTTCTTAATTAAAATATTGAATAATACGTCCTTTTGACACTGAAACATTAAGGAAAGGAAAGTATGACTACGATTCTATTGATGAAAAAAGAGAATCGTGAGTGTTCAAAAAATAACATATTATTATATTAAGAACTTGGTGGCAAATATAAGATTCACATTTGAGCATGATTTTCGATTTGGTGCAAATTAAACATTAGTGCCCATCATGATATTAACAAGTAATCTATTCAATTTTATTCTTCTCCCTTCAGTTTAAGTATTTTTATGATTCTTTGATGGCATAGGTGCTTGTTATTGAGTTCATGTTACATGAATATGATTTTTTTTATCATATTGTCTGTTGTCATACTATCTTAACTTAGTGTATAATTCAGGTGTTTAATGCATATAATTCAAATATTGTAGGATTTCTCGGAATCTGGGTGATAAATGTTACAAATTAATTAAATATTATAATATAAAAGTACGAATTATTTGTTAGATAGCATAAGCATTGAGTTTTTTTCAAAAATAATGTTAAATAGAAAATTATTTATGAAATTAAGGTCAAGTTAAAACTATTTACCAAAATACTGCTGGAATAAACTCTGGTTAAACAGAGTCGCCAAATCGTTTGGCGACTTTTGTTTAAAGCCGTTGCTCGGGCAAGAACGAAGCGCAGGAAGTAAGTGGGGTAGGCATTAGCCAATAGAAATTGGATCCAAACTTAAAAATCTCTCATTTTTTTAAATGATTACAACTTTTATATTTATAATCCGATTTTTGTAAAAAGTATATCAAATTTCATAAAATTTTATTATCTTTCATATGACACCAATATTGAAGATACGATGAGTAGAAAACATTTGTAAGTAAATCAGCTGATTCTGCCAAAATTTATGAACTTATAAATTTTTAGAACCCATTTGGTAATGTTGAAATTGATTAAATCAGCTGATTCTGCCAAAATTTATGAAATTGTAGTTGAAGTGATTGGATTGGCTGATTATATTGACTTGTGAAAAAATTATATTTAAAATATTTTCATTAATAATAATAAAAATTATATGAAGAAATAGCTAACAATATTTTCTAAAATAACTTCAGCGAATATAGTCATAAAAATAATTGCAACCTTACATTTTCTTATAATTACACAATTTCGCGCGCGAAATCAAAAATTAAGTGTTTGGTGAAAAAGTTAGTTGATAAACCAAAAAGGTCACCAAAAGAGCTCTTAGTATAAATAACAAATTTATAACCTTTTAAAAAATATAATATTTTTATCATATGAAAGACAATACTCTATTTGTCTCTTAAAACTTTGTCAACTTTTTCTTTTTTGACTGTCCCACTAACTGTCACTTTCTCTTTTAAGTAAGAAATTTGTGCACAAAGCTCAATCATACAGTTTTTACTATATTAATTCTCGTGCCGGTCAAACTTGACAAAGTTATCAAGGATGGAGGGAGTAACTATTTCTTCATATATATTTTTATCTTATTAATAAAAAATATTTTAAATATAATTTTTTCATAAATCAGTACTATCTATCAATCCAACCACATAAACTAGAAATTCATAAATTTTAGTAGAATTATTCGATTCCTAAAAAATTTATGTGATCTTAACTTTAAAACATACATCTACTTAAAAAAATTGTAGCCTGAAAAACCTCTACTCATTTTATTTTCAGAATTGTTTTTATTTTTATATATTGAATATTGGTGTCATATGAAAGATAATAAGAATTTATGAAATTTGATATATTTTTTATGAAAATCCGATTATAAATATAAAAGTTATAACCATTTTAAAAAAAGGTGGATTTTTTAAGTTAATGATTTTCTATTGCGCGCGAGTAACGGTTTTTAAGGAAAGTCGCCAAACCATTTGGCGACTCTGTTTAACCAGAGTTTATTCTAGCGGTATTTTGGTAAATAGTTTTAACCTGACCCTAATTTCGTAAATAATTTTTTATTTAACATTATTTTTGAAAAAAACTCATAAGCATTTGGATCAACTAAGAAATTGAATTATTCTATGTAGTTTATAAAAAGGAAAGTTACAAGTTATTGTTAGTAGTCAATAAGAGGGAAATAGTGATGAATGAAAATAATACTGCCACCTTTCCATTAGAAAAAAATAGGATCTATTTTTTTGGACAAAAAGGTTGACTAAAAATACCTCTTATAAATACAATATCAATCTCTAATATCCTCACAACTCTTCTTCCATTTAATTTCATGTCTCCCGCTTCTTTGCCAGCTTGCTTCCCGATCGCCCTCACTGCCGGTGTCACTCTCGTCGACCGCCATCGCTGCAATGTCTTTCTTCTTCATCAATTTGGTGCTCCAATAGCTCGACAATGGGCGAAACTTGGACGACGCCCTCACCTATGTTTTAAGATCTGTGGCGATTAGGGTTTTGTCTTAGCGGCAGAGACAATCACTTCTCAGATCTACATCTGGGGTTTAGTTATGGCAACGGCGGCTAAATTAACATACAGATGAAGGCGGGGGGTGGAGGTGGCGGGTCTGGCCACCTGGGGCAGGGGTGAAGGTCGAGACATGGTCTGGGGTAAGGGTGGGGAACATGGTTGCAAAGTGCTATGTGGAAGCTTGGGGAGGGATGTGGTGGTTAGATATAATTGTGTGGGGGGGGGCTACAAAGGGTCACTGTTTGGGGGGAGGGGGGGGAGGGGGGCATTCACCAACATGGACAGGGCAACATTCACTTGCGTCATTGTTAGTGATGGTCACTTACGGTACCACGATAGGTCATCAGGAAAAAATAGTTCACAAAAAGGCGATGATGGTAACTAGGATGGTGGTCAAATGAGTGATGATCACTGAAATCGATGCTCACTATTGAGGTAATCACTAGGTGGTGGTCACTATGACAAACTAAGGTGGTCATTATCGTATGTGGTGTACACTTAAGTTTTAAAAATGTTTCTTATCATAACCCAACCCCATAAGAGACAGTGCCTATATCATACATCCGGGTGTACGTACACCCGGCCCAACCAAGGAAGACAGTCCAATAACTAATACAAGCCAAAAAAAATCGGTGGCATTTTTGTAATTTAAGCGAAAAATCACGGCTTCCGCTAAATGAGCAATGTTGTAATTTTAGTGAGCATTTGACCTATTTTATTAAGTATTAGGAGGCTAACAATGAGTATCACGATCTCTACTTCATATCTTCTAATTTTTTTCTTCTTATTTTTTCTTTTATAAACACTTATTAAATTATATCTTTAATCCACTTTATTAATTTCAATATGCGAGTCTTATGTAATATGATACTTTTGAAATATGCATTGATATGACATTTTAAAAATGAGCATAACATCAGTACCAAATGAGCATACATAACTTACAAAGTGCACATTGATATGAAAATCGTAAAATTTATTAGTTGAACGTCACGACATCTTAATTGAGCATCAAATCTTCGCTATTGAGATGAAAATCACAGTTTGTTGTGAATGAGCATTGTTGAGGTTTAGTCCCGCAGATCCGAAAGCCCAACACCAACTTTGGATATTTAAGCACAATGTGTTTAGTGCGAAAGTGTTTATAATATAAAAGGTGGATTCAATGCATTCAAAAGCCTGCTTGTATTAGAGTAATAAAGCTGATTACACGAAAGAGGCCGAATGGCACCTCGATTCTATTGCTAATACAAGAACTAGAGAGATAGTCTAAGGTTCTGAGTATCAAATTGTTAACCCTTTACAATGTAGTTAATGTGCCTATTTATACTAGATGGGGGGTAGGTGGGGTGATGATGTGGCCGAATCCGATTGGTTGTTGCCTTTGCCACTTGAGCACCCATGCTCCCACTTGTTACCGCCATACTCTAGCATTTAATGCAGCTTACCACTTGTGGACTCCCCGATCGGTCTCTAGACTCCACAGGCTGATGGACAGAGCTGATGTTTGTTATTTGTTCTAAGTAGGACAATTGGGTCGTTCGGGCCTTGCCGAACGGCGTCCTTCCTTTGGTGGTTGATTACCCGTTCGGGCTCTCATAAGTCTGGACCAAGTTCCTCTTTGGGCTTGCTCTCTCCCTTGGGCCCTTATCTACTCTGGGCCGAAGCCTAATATCCCAACAAGCATTAATGAATTTTTAATGAGCATCAGACCTATTATGTTGAGTATAATATTAGGAGTCTAACATAAATTAGTACTTTTAAAAAATACATTTATAAAATGAGCATAAAATTAGTATCAGATGAGCATACGTAACTTACAAAATGAGCATTAATGAATTTATTAGTTACTTTGTTAGTTGAATATCACGACATCTTCATTAAGTATCAAACCTCCTCTATTGAGATCGATGAAAATCATGATTTCTGTTAAATGAGCATTAATGAATTTTTATTGAGCATCAAGCCATCAACCTTTGTGAATTTTTAATGATTTCTGCGATTGATTGTCATGATTTGTGGTCTCGTGTCTATAATCAACTCCTTTATAAATCTAATGTAATATGAGACTTTTGAAATATGCATTTCTAAAACATTGTAAAAATGAGCATAACAGAGATACTAAATGAACATACGTAACTTACAAAATGAGTATCCACAAATTCAAAAGCTCATTTGTGTGTATTAGTTTTTTAAGCATTTTATTCATTTGAGTTTATAGTAAATCTCATTCCTAATGTGTTCAGCATTAATATACAAAGAAAAAGAAAGAAGTAAACAACAAATAAATATACGAAAAGTTAAAAAAATGACAAAACAAAAGAAAGTAAAAGGGTTTTTTACAAGAATATTACTAAAATAAAACATATTTACATAAATATGACTATTCATTACTACAATGTGGTGTTGTGGTAACTTAAGCTCAAAACTTGAACATGAATTACTATGATTTCATTACTACTTTAGCCAATAATCATATTTTTGTAAATCATCTTTATTTTGGTCATATTTATGTAATTATTTCAAAGTAAAACCAACTAGCTAGCAGTAAAAGTAAAGAAAAAATAAAAATAAAAAAGACAAAACTAAAAAGGTAACAATCAGAATGAGGATGGCTGCGGAAGAAAAGCAAGAAAAGAGGAAAGCGGCAGAAGAGGAAAGAAAAGAGGATGGCAGCAAAAGAGGAAAGAAAAGAGAATGGCGGCGGAAGCGGAAAGAGGATGGAGCGAATGCTGATTCAGTGATTAGGAAGATGACAAAATAGGCTTGAAGTTAATATATATTACAAAAATACCGGGTGTACAGGTACACCTGGGTGTAGGATATAAAATACGCATAAGAGAGTGAAATTAATGCGTTTTATAGCTCAACTTTATTATATAAAAGAATAAATATAGAACTTAGAAACACAATTTAGATGCTTTAGTTATTTGATCAGATTTCCAAATTTCGTTTCAAAACATAACTTATCTTTTATGCGCGACATCGTCTATCTTGATGTTTTGTTTTGTTGTTTATCAAACCACAGGAAAAAAATAATTTTAAACGTAAATGGAAAAGAGAATGAGTATATAGAGCATATGGTATAAACCGTATGTCCGTATGTACGCTTTTTTATTTTAATTTTGAACTATTACAAAATTTGTTTGGGAAGAAAAACTACACAGAAAATAAAGATAAACCGAACTCAGGACTCAGGAGTATGTGTCATCTGTAATAACCCTTGAGAAATCAAACGGATTTTTAGCCACAAGAGCTCCATTATGTAGGGGAGCATATGTTTCACATACCTATCAATCTGATAGCAGCAAGCTCAAACAGTTTTTCGTGTTTGTCTTAATTTACATAATGTAAATATTAGCTGTAGCCACGGCAGCTACTCCCTTGTGAACGCACAGGTGTTGAAACCAATCCGCCTGTGCTTCTCAGCTCGTGCCACATGCAAATCAATGTATCAAAGGTGTCATCATCGTCAAACTCGCTCACTCTTAACCTGGACATGCTTATGAGAGATCTCAACCACTCCTCATGCAACGTGGAGAAGTTCGACCTTTGCTCGCTCAGTCTAAAACTCTGTCTGATATTCGTCTCCATCACTGTAGCAGCCTTGGATGCCGAGTCAACCACCTTTTTTGGGATCCCAGCCATGAGTGCCACTTGCATTCCGTAGCTCTCCGGGCAGGCCCCGCAGGCTAGTCGATATTGAAAAATGAGCTCCTCCCTGTTTCGGCCAAAAGAACAGGCCATGTGCTTCAAGATCACACGAGGATGAGTGGCAAACTCCTTTGTTAAGGCATGATAGTGTGTGGCAAACAGTAGGCGGCAGTTAACTGTCTCCACAAGATGGCGAAATACCTGAGTAAGAGGTTTTTGTTATTAGTAACAAAAAATGATGCAAGCGGAGAATGGGAGATAAATGGTAGAGTGGTAGACAGATCTTACAGCATATGCAATAGCGTATCCATCAAATGTGCTTGTCCCTCGGCCTAATTCGTCAAGAAGAACAAGTGAGTTGTGGGTGGCCTTTTGCAGAACTGATGCGGTCTCCGAACACTCAACCAAGAACGTGCCTGTCAGATCAAATGTATGATACATGGGATATAGGACTATGATTCAATTTTTGGCTTTGATGCCTCCCCCCTTCAAACCAACTATTCTTTCCCACTTAAATTAATGCTGAAACTTGATTAATTACTCTCCCTTTAAAAATGACCATCCTTTCAGGTGGTCTTACATATTAAGCAACTATTTTAGTGGGTACATAAATACACTTATATCACCACATTTTACCTTTTTATAAACTGATAAAATGCTATACTACTCATATGCACGATATTCAAGTAAATGACAACTTGTAAAGAAAGTACTAAATTCTTGGCAGAATACAAAAAGCAACATATTTTGGAATAAAATATCTTCTTAAGGAAGAACTTACTTTCACCCGTCATAATTCGGTCAGTGGCTCCAAGGCGAGTGAAGATGATGTCCACAAGTGAGAGAGTAAGTGCCTCACAAGGCACATAGCAACCCATCTGCAACACAAATATAAAGAGATGAAGGAAATCCATGCAGAGCTTCTTAAAATCTGAGTTATGAGACCTAAAACGAGTTTCAAAACAAAGGTAATTAAATACCTGAGCCATTATAACAGCTAGACAAGTGGCACGTAAAAGGGTGGACTTTCCACCCATATTCGGTCCAGTCAACAGTAAAGTATGGCGGTTACGGTGACCTGCTGACTCACCTCCAAGCTGGAGGTCATTAGGGATTGGCACTCCCCCACTCTCACCTAGGGCATAGGGGTGCCACAATCCTTTCATTTCCAGCACAGGTCCTTCATATCTCGACTCGGAGATGGGCAAGATTATTGGCCTACACATAGCTCCAGTTGATAATGTGGAAGTAATTGCAAAGGACCTTAACACATCAACACATCCAATGGCATCAATAACTTGCGACCATTCTTTAGCCTTCTCAACAAATAACTCCATAAGAATTGATAGGGTTTCAGCGTCTGTTTCAGCTATATCATGATTCTGGGCACCACATAGGAGAGAAGAAATTAAGAGTATTCATATTACTAGTTTCTAATTCTCTGATTATTAATGGATAGAGAAACTTGTTTCCAGTGCAAAAAAAACGATCTTCAGCATCCACAATGTTAACAGACCTGGTAGTTGGGGAAGTCACTGTTGATGGCTGCTTCAAATTGGGTAAGAAATTTACACAAGCCATTATTACCAATTAAAAGCAACGGACTAAAGACTTTAGATAATGAAGACATCAGCTTCTCTTCCTTTTGCAATAACATCAGCAAATCCATTCCACTCCTCATCCCTTTAACAAGTGAACCAAACACTTTCACCTGTTGAAATATCAATTTAAAAAGAGTACAACACATCAACTTCTAGCTTTAATCATGTTTGTGTGCACTCTTCTACTAATCTACAATGTAAGATGCTGATCTGTTCATAGAGCACCAATATCACCGTAACAGAATGAAAGTAAAAAAATCAGCAAACTACACATACAAATCTCACAAATCTTGAAGATAAATGACAATCACGGATTTGAGAATCTTTGAAAATCTTAGATATTATTTTGAATATTTTCTGAATTATAGTTTTTTTTGTTGCTTTATTTAATTTTCCAAACTTTTTTGGGACTAAGGCTTGGATGTTGTTGAATTCTTTAAAGCCTATTTAAGGGCCAGTTGAAAAGAGATGGGTATACAAGTTTGAAGCAAGAAATTTCATTGAAAACTCTGATCTATTTCTACAAATATTATCCTGCCTCTATTCTTCTTAGTTTTCTCTCCAGCAACCATAGCCAACCCTTTTAAATCTCAATCTACCCTCCCACTCGCCCTAAGGCCAATGAAAATATCTTGCACACAAGTGCCAGTAACAGACGCTACATGCTGGCCTATGCAGACTAGGGAGTCAAACTTATACTAGAATATGATCACATGCATATATATAACATTATGAAGAGTAAAGATCTAGTCAGTCCGGACTGACGGGAACCGCCTTCTGGCCAAGCCGGTTTGAGGGCCTTCCGAGTCGAATTTTTTGATAAAATTTTGTGAGCATGTTCTTCATGAAGTGTAGAACATTCACACAAAATTTCGGATGGGTTGTTTTTACGATGTATTACCAGCGATTATCCCAAGGAATGGGTTCCTTGGCTTTCCTGGATTGAATATTGTTACAATAATTCCTGCCACTCATCTTTGAGGGACACACCGTTTCTATTGGTTCATGGCAAGGACCCTCCCCGTATTCTATCCTATATGCCTGGGACAGACAAGGTTGATGGGGTTGATAGGGAACTCGTGGATCGTGATACCTTTCTCAAAAGCGCTCAGGATAGATTGGCTCAAGTGCAACAATGCATGAAAACTCAGTTCAACAAAGGCCACTGTGAGCTCTTCTTTGAACCAGGTGCTTGGGTCTGGCTCCGTTGCAACCGTGTCGTCAACACTCAGTGAGGCACGGGAATCACAAACTTTTGCAGATTTTTTTTTTATCCATTTCAGGTCCTGGACCGCATTGGTTAGACCATAGTCACATAGTTCGTTGTACACTTCGGTACGGGAACGCGGTTCGCTAGATCTAGCGTATCCGATTCGGAGGGGGGTAGGTCAACAACAATGGACGAAACAGGTTCAACAACAATGGCAGGCGTGATAGCAGACACAATCAAAAGCACTATGCTACTCAGCCAAATCTAGAACTTAATCTTCCAGAATGTCAAATTTGTGGCAAAACAGGGCATGTTGTCCTTAATTGCTGGCACCGTTTTAAAACTGATCTGTATCCTTCAGAGTACACAAGCCAATATTACCACCTTTGCAGAAAATGGCTGGTTACTGGATTCCGGTGCAACGAATCATGTTACCAACAATCTCAACAACTTGACCATGGCATTTGACTATACAGGTACCGATTCTCTCATAATTGGGAATGGTAAAGGTCTTAAGATAGCACAAGTGGGACACACAACCATTCAATCTTTCTCTCTTCCTAATACTCTTTATGTTCCTTCTATTCATACCAATTTAATATATGTAGCCAAATTGTGTCGTGACAACGATATACTAATTGAATTTCATCCATCTTTTTGTATTATAAAGGACCGGAAAACGGGATCCATTTTACTACGCGGTATGAATAGAGGAGATGTCTACAACATAGCTGCTGCTCCAGATCCACCACCACCTTGTGCAAACATTACTTCTAATTTTTCTGTAAATAATTGGCATTGTCGATTAGGTCACCTGGCCTTACCGGTAACTAGGAAAATACAGTCAATTAGGAATTCTGTCTCAGTCTGTCAAGAATGATATTTCTGTATGCACATCATGTGCCAGTAATAAAAGCCATAAACTGCCCTTTAGTCATTCTTCTCTTACAAGTGAAAGTCCGTTTGACCTTATTTACAGTGATGTGTGGAGTCTTGCTCGTATTTCTTCTATTGATGGATTTCGGTTTTATGGCATATTTGTTTATCACTTTACCAAGTACATTTGATTTTGTACTATGAAAACATAATCTGAAGTGACTTCTCTTTTTAAACAATTTAAACTTTTAGTTGAGAAGTTCTTTCAACGACCAATTAAAACTGTGTACTCTGATGGCGGCGGTGAATATATACCCTTAAGTAAATTTCTTGTTACATGTGGTATCACACACCTTACTCCACCTTATACTCATGAACATAATGGTTTTGTTGAACGTCGTCAACGTCACATAATTGAGACAGGAAGCACCCTTCTTTATCACGCTTCCATGTCTCTCAAGTACTGGTCATACGCTTCTCGGACTGCTGTGTATCTCACCATTCGACATCCCACATCTTTTCTGAATTTTCAATCCCCATATGAGGCACTTCACCATACCTCACCTAACTATGGCAAACTCGCTATTTTTGGGTGTCAATGTTTTCCTTAGTTGCATTCATACACGAACCATAAGTTAGAACTTCGGTCAAAACCATGTTTCTTTCTTGGGTATTGTGATCAACAAAGTGCTTACTGGTGTCTAGATCCGACAACTCATAATATTTATCTCCCGTTATGTAGTGTTTGATGAAACTATCTTTCCTTTTTCTAAAAATCATGTAATTTCATCCACTTTGGCTTCTAATTTGGATGAATGGCTTATGCCCTATCGTTCCTATGTTCCTCCTCCAAGTGCTGCAAATACAGAGGCATCTCCTGATATTCATACCTCGTTTGCAGATGATATCCCTGATACGTCTTCCTCTCCCTATTTCATTCCAATTTTAGCCCGTCAACCCAATCCAACAACTCCAACAGCTCGCCTGACCCCGCAGTCCAGTCCAAAAAATCCTACAACTAACCTAACTCCTCAGCCCAAGCAGCCAGGTCTGCCCCTCCGAAAGCCCGTTATCACCTATACTCGCAGACCCAAACAAGCATCCTTGTTAAAACCTCACCCACTTACTGACTTGGCTCCTTCCCCTAGACTTGACTCATGTACTGATCCATTGGTGGAAACACCACTCGTTCAACCCATTCCTGACCAAGTGCAGCCCACTCAGCTATCAAATCCAGTTGAGCTGCCCAACCAACTGTGCCACAAGTTCCTAGTTCCTACTTATATTCCCCATCCAGATTTATTTACTAGTCCTACCACAAACTCTCATTCCCAATGCGATCTTGTTCTGCCACACAAACCACAACGTACTCACCCAATGACCACTCGTAGCCTTGCCAAAAAAACACATATTGTCCAAACTAATCCTTTACCCCATCATATTATTACTACTTGTGCATCTCAAGCCTTACAGGTACCAGAATGGAGAGAAGCTATGGCAGCAGAAATCAATGGGTATTTGGGAACTCGTGCCTAGTTCTACAGTTCAGAATGTGGTTGGCTGTAAATGGGTATTTACGGTGAAATATAAGCCAGATGGATCTTTGGAACGCTTTAAGGCTCGTTTGGTGACCAAAGGTTTTCATCACCGCCCTGGAATTGACTTTTTCGAGACCTATAGCCCGGTGGTCAAACCTGTCACTATTCGTGTGGTCCTTACTATTGCATTTTTTCATGGTTGGTCTATTAATCAGTTGGATATTAATAATGTGTTCCTTCATGGTACTCTTCAAGAGGAGGTTTACATGAAACAACCTCCTGGATTTGTTGATTCCACTCATCCAGACTTCGTGTGCCAGTTGTGCAAGTCCATTTATGGCCTCAAACAGGCGCCTCGTGTCTAATATAAGTCTTTAAGTGAGTTCCTTTTACTACTTGGGTTCAGACAATCTATTTCTGATGCCAGTCTTTTCATTTTCTCACGTCAAGGACTCGTTATTTTGTCCTCATTTACATTGATGATATTATTGTGACTGGCTCCACCAGTGCAGTTGTCCACCGCACATTGATTCCCTTGCACAAAAAACTTCTATCAAGGATTTGGGTGCATTGCATTATTTTTTGGGGGTTCAAGTGACGCCATCTCTAACTGATTTATTTTTGGATCAACACAAATACATCTCTAATTTACTAGCTGTTGTACATATGGCTGGTGCTAACCAGGTTGCTACTCCACTCGTCTCTTCTACTTCTCTTAGCTTGGTGGATGGATCTGGTGGTCGTGATGAGACTTTATATCGTCATGTTCTAGGCTCTCTACAATATCTCAGTCTTACTCGGCCTAATATCACTTTTTCAGTTAATCAATTGTCCCAATTCATGCATAAGACAACACAAAATCATTGGGCTGCACTTGAGCGAGTTCTTTGCTATCTCAAGGGTGCTGCCTCCCATGGTCTATTTTTCCTATATGTGATGATCTCTCTATATGTGCCTTTTTAGATGCTGATTGGGCGGGCAATCCAGATCTGCGTTCATCCACTAGTGCATATGTGATCTATTTGGGCAACTGCTTGATCTCCTGGAAGTCCAGTAAACGGACTGTTGCCAAATCTTCAACGGAAGCCGAATATCGTGCTTTATCTTCTGCGGCCTATGAAATTGCATGGATTGAATCCCTATTGTCTGAGCTTCACCACTCACCCACTACTTGTCCGATCCTTCTTTGTGATAATCTTGGCGCAACACATCTCTCCTCAAATCCCATTTTTCACTCTCGAATGAAGCATGTTGCTATTGACTTCCATTTTCTTCGACAACGAGTGCAGCAAGGCATCCTTCGAGTTCTGCACATTTCTTCAGTTGATCAACTAGCAGATGCACTCACAAAGCCACTGCCATGACAGCATTTTACATTGCTGAAAAACAATGTATTTTACATTGCCACTTTCAGGATCCTGACACTAGCAGCATACCTGGCTTGCGGGGGCGTATAGAAGGAACTGCAAATCAAATTGATCTACAACATTAATTATGATATATTTCATATAGAATTCTCTGATCTTCAGCATTTATTGTAATATATTTCATATATAATCTTACCTTGAATAGCTTAGAAATTCCATGTATAAATTGTACAATTTGTGCATCAATAAACTATGCAATTACCTATCAACTCCTACCTCTCTCTAAATTCATCAACATTCTCGGACTGAGGTCACATTTTGTGAACCGGTGAGTTCAAGAGAAGGTGCAATAAATAGGTGAGATTCCCATAACAAGAGTATGACTATTTGGAACAGTAATACCCCAAAGGTGAGATTCAGTTGGGGTGAGAGGGGAACTGACCCCTCTGCCCCCCCACCCCCCAATCCGCCCCTAGCAAGCCGAGGAAAATAACAAAATTCTCATTAAAGATCACATGACAGATGCAGAGCAAAATGTTGAAAGACCATATTAATGATGTATTATCAATATATTTTATTTACTATATATGGCATGTGTGAAAAATGGACTGTTTTATGCATCCAGAAGTCTCAGAAAGCAAAGACTTACCCGCTGTTTCAATTTCTTTTTTCCAATTGTAGGCAGCAGAAGTTCTGCAGGACACTGAATACTTGTTTTAACATGTCCAAGCAGCCTTTCCAAATCAGGAAGCTTACGAAGATATTGAGCAACAATGGACATAGTTTCCGTACATGTCATAAGATGCTCAACCGCATCAAGTCTGATGTTAATTGCATCAACATCTTTTAATGGATGGCATACCCATCTCCTTAAAATCCTCTTGCCAAATGATGTTACGCAATTGTCAAGATACTTGTACAGAGTTCCTGTCATGTAAAAGTGAAGGCCCCTTAATGAGCACATCTAAGAATATTTGTACAGAAAAGATTGGTGTATCACTGTGTCCCTAGTGAGATCATAACTTTTAGCCTTTTACAATTGAGCAGTAAAGAAACGTGCCTGCTGGACCACCATCAGCACTATTGTTGAAGATTTCAAGATTGACAAGTGCTTGTCCATCCATTTGAAGGAAACCTCGATAAACTTCATGTGTGAGGATGTCTCCATTACATAAAACATCACCTAGCTGTAAAGAAATAGGGATCCAATAATCAACAAAATAACCTTTAATTGTTGAATATTGCATGTCATCATCATTGCGATAAGCCTTACCATTAACCGCTCTAAATGACTGGCAAGACCACCAAAAGCACGTAATGCAAGATCTTGATGCATTACTTCATCAAATACATGATCCCATCTATTAGAAGATCCTTTGAAGTATCCCTTCAACTTAATGAGATTTTTTATTTCTGAAGGATCAACAAAATTGCAGTCTGGCTGAATTGGGGTCAGTTGTGGAACAGCAGTGCCTTTAAGAAAAAATGAAGTCTATGTTTAATCCAATACCAAGTGTAATAGACATTATGTTTCATAAATAATACTCCGAAAACATGCAATTTGATGAGGCACCGAGATTGAAAAAGAAAAGAAAAGTGTGAATGAAATTTATTTATAGAAGAAATATTCTGAACCACATAATGCTTTCCCTAAAAGGAAATGGGGGATAATTTGGGCAGACCAAAAGGAAAGTGTCTTGATTATCTTTCATTTATTTTTCTGCATAGTATTCTAAAATCACCTTCTTAAGCAACTTGTGTTGAAAAGACTTATGATAAGGTACCTTGACAAGTCCTTTGATGGACCTTAACTAGAAAAGGCATATTGCGTAAATATAGTAGCAGCATCATGCATATGTATGAAAATGGTACTACAAGTGTCCGTAATAGTGTCAGCAGGACTGCCGAATTCCCTATTACTATCGGACTGCTGAGTCATTTCTTATTTGTTATTGTCATAGATGAACTTACGAAGACGATTCAAGATCATATACCATGATACATGATGTTTATCAACGATATTGTCTTGATTGATGAGAGACAATTGGGTGTTAAAGAAAAAGTTGGAAATATGGCGACAAGCATTGGAGAACACGGGTTTCAGACTGAGTCGAAGCAAGACTGAGTATATGAAGTGCAAGTTTGGTAGAGGTAAAAGCAATGGTAACAGTGGGATTACCCTAGATGATAAGGAGATACCCGTCAGTGATATTTTCAATTACTTGGCCTCCATAATTCAAAAGGACGGTGAATTAGATGGGCATGTATCCCATAGAATCAGAGCAGGGTGGATAAAATGGAAGAGTGTGTCTAGATTTCTATGTGATTGAGGTATGACGGCTAGACTGAAATGTAAATTTTATTGGACAACAATTAAGCATATGGCATATAGTGTTAGTCAGCAAAACAATGTCACGTTCAAAAGATGAGTGTGACAGAAATGTGCATGCTATGTTGGATGTGGGACATACTAGAAAAGACCACTTGAAGAATGAGACAATAGGACAAAAGGTGGGTGTATCACCTATTGAAGATAAGATGTGAGAGTCTCGATTGCGGTGATTTGGTCATGTGCGTAGAAGTCCAAGTGAAGCACCTGTTAGACGAGTTGGGAGGTGTGGAGAAGAGTAGGGGAGGAGATGGAGAGGCAGACCCAAACATGCGCTGATTTGAGGAGTCAAGAGTGATATGCTTTTTCTTGGGTTGGATGAGAGTATGACTTTGAAGAGAGCAAAGTGGAGGGTGTATATTCATGTGACGGATTGATCTCTTATTATCTTTTTTTCATTTATCTTCTTCAATTTTCTTATGTTTTTATCATTTTATCTTTATATAAATAAATTATTGAAAACAACGTGCCGAAGTATATATAAAAAACGCAGTGTTTTTCAATATTTTATTTAAGGGAAAATACCAATATATTACTAAAACATGTCCACTTTCCCATAATATGACTTAAAAAGTTTATTTACCATTATATGACTAGTAATGGGTGTAGAGGCATACGACATGCTTTAATATAGCAGTTACATTTGTAAGATGACATGTCATTAATGCACCATTCTAGGAAAAAAACTATCCAAGTCATACATGTGTTAATTTTCTCTTTATTTAACTGATTTCTTGATTGAATTTTAAGTTCAAATTTTGTGAACATAATCTACAATTCATGAAGACCATGCTCACAAATTTAATCAAAAAACTTCATCTAGAAGCACCTCACGTGGAGGTGGTCACATGGCAGATCCCGTCAAGCCGGCCTGACAGGATCATTCTCCTATACACACACATATACATACATATATATATATATATATATATTTAAATGAGCATTAATGCACTTTATCTCCTTTTATTTTAGCATGCTTATGTATATCTTATCTCTATTTTATCTTATCCTTTTTATTCTTTTTATCTTTCTTTTCCTTTTGACTCCAATATCATATATTGATTCATGTTACCGAACCGAAAAATCTTTTGGGATTAATGCTTGAATGTTATTGTTAGTATTCGAGAATCAAAATAGACATCAGGATGCCGAAGTGTCAAGTCGTCAAGAAAGCCCATGACAACTTGGACTAGAAAATTTAACTATAAAGCAAAGTTCAAATACAAAAGCAAACGGATCTATGAATTTTTAGTAGTTTCATTTTCACTCTAGTTTATTTGAGATGAAACCCTGATCATATCCTCCTGGATTCAAATATATCATATGTATCAGAATGTCGACCTAACAATGCATCAGCAAGAACAACACCTGCACAAATAGACCAGCAGACACACAAAAAACACCACCCCTTGAAAAATAAAAGGTTTGTCATTTAGTTCTTGGAGGAAAATCCTACCTATTAACGAGTATGTCTTCAAAGCTTTATGAGCTTCTTTTGACAGTCCTGTGGCAGAACTTATGTTAGAAATAATCACCCACTATCTTTAGTGTAAAATAATTATAGCACAAACTTTACCTTGGGAGTCATATATTACTTCTTTAGGAGATATCTGACGACAAAAAGAAATGCATACACATGCCAAAAGTGAATGCATGTTAATCAATTGAATTAATAGAGAAATGCACAAATTGATATTTGTAAGAACGTAAGATAAATGCAATTAATATCACACCTGCATTAATAAAGCCCCAAGAGCGGATGTATCATTGCTGATGGAACCGACCCAAAATTTCAATGCAGCACAATCAACAAAAGCAAAGCCATATGCAGTGGAACTACTTTCGAGACCCACACAACCCTGGATGAAAACAACATAGCAATCATAACCCTTGCATAGAACTTTAATATTACCTTTTGAACATAATCTCTTTGAAATAGAGGCACAATACGACACTACGATGTCACAAGGCATGGTAGAAAGTTCTACAATGCCAAATTGGCATGAAATGCATGATTTAACTTTTCGTCTTTTGTAGAGGTGTAAAAGAGGAGAATGATGTTTATAAAATATAAATAACTAGATTGTAGAGACCTCATTTATGTAAAGAAGATGAACTGCATCCTGCCCAATGTTACCCTCACTTGTAGTGGCAGGTGTAAGTACGTTAACAAGTTTCCTTTGAATAATCTGCAAGAAATGCATTGTAGAGTATTAGGATTTAACAAGGATTCATCATAATGAACACCAAAAAACGTGAGCATGAGAACATCAAATTAGGAGATGTGCTAGGGGAAGTGGCAGCAAAAACATTTTTCCTTGTTATTGTGATGCTTGTGCAGCTATAAGACTGATCGACACTAGGAAAACTGTCAAATTGACCCTCTTACTATCTTCGATCCAGCAATTAAGCCTTCATGTAAAACAAAACCCAATCAGATACACGACCTCATTGAAAAAAAACCTAATTAGTACTAACGTACATGTTTTCAGGTTACTTTTACACATTTACTGTCATCATTTCAAATCACTCCCCCCTTCATTCTAATCATTGTCAGATCATCATCATCTTAGTGATTTTTATTTCTTTCATTTTATAATTTCTTTGTTTTCTTTTTATTATATGTTTGTTTGTTGGTTGATGCCAATAAAAATCAATTTTTAACTTCATATTATTTTCCCCGTTCTCGAGTAAGGTTGATAGAGTTTTGTGTTTGTTTATTTTTTTAAAAAAATTGTTAATGGTTTGTCAATGTCAATGTGAAAGCACACTACGCAGATTAATTATTAGTGACAATGAACTTGTATACCACCCTTCATTCTCATTGACAACCCTTCATTGACAGACCACACAGATAAAATGAGACATATGTGAGATGGTTGTTAGATTGGAAAGTTGTCTCAAATAATGGGGTACAAGTTGTGTCCAACTGTTTTGTATAAATAGCATCATTCTGTTCTAAATGGTTTGGAAATGGAAATTGCAAAACAGAATTTTCTTATAGGCATGAAAAATCGGGAAAATTCGTAGTTAATACCTTTTATTGTATCTTGTTTGAAGTTAATTCATATGTACAAATCTATGTGGGAAAAGAAAAATACTGACTGATTGGCGGGAACCGTAGTGGTTACTGGAGGAGTAATTAAATTTATAATATACTATGTAGTAATAAACAAAGAACAGAGAAAAAGAAAAGAAGATAGATAAAGACCACATGTATGACACATAAGAATTGCGATTAGTAATTTGCCAAGAACGTTAATTGAGTAATTTTGGTACAAGAGCCTAATTTTGGGACTCAAAAATAGTAGAAGATCATATTTAATAGTTTTCTCACCCAACATTTCAGAGTTCTCATTATTGATATTGACAAGTTTTACTAGTAATGATAATAATAACAACCACAACAAGTCAATCAGTATTAAGAAACATGGCAATGCACTTACAGAAGTAGAACCCCTGGATTTGGCTTGCTCTGATGTCTCTAGCTGTTCTATCCGCCCCACTTTATACCTGTAAAGTTTATCAAGGAAAAAATACTAGAAATATTATAAAATGTAATACTGAACATCGTAGAACCAAGATTATGTTACAGGCATAGTTGGGAGATGTAAAGAAGATCGGTAACTGGAAAAATAACATAGCCTCCCGCCATGGGCAAGGAGTGTCCATCACTCCATCAATTCCACCAAGCGCACAAGAAATATTACTTCTCCAAAAGATTGATGATTTTACGAATGAACACAACACATCCATTTATACTAGTTCCAAGAGCCTGGTGGCCTTGTATTAGAGTATCCTAATTCTATTGCATTACTTGTATTAGAAAAATTAACTAAAATAGAATGTCTCCACTATAGGAACCTACATCTAATAATAACCATGTTCTAAAAATCACTCTAGGCGCCCGGCTGCCTAGGGCCCCTAGTTGACTGCCTAGAGCGCTTAATCGACCTCTTGGGATGTCTAGATTGACCGACATTTCTTTTTTGTTTTCTAAGATATATATGTACCTTTAACTTTAAGGGTGCATATGAAGAAAAGCTACTAGTTGTAGATTAAGATAAAAAAAATATACATGTTTGTATATAATATTAAATATTGTTATTATTATATTTATTACATAATGAAGTTAAATGAGTTATATGTGATAACTCTGTCATTCATGCATATTAATGTTTATGTGCGTGTATATGTTTTTTTACTTTTTTATACACACAAACACAACATTATTAATCATATTTATGCAAAAATATTGATAAAACTATAATTTATATATCTTCAACTAGTCCCCGCCTAGGCGCCCGCCTAGCAGCCTAGGCACTTGGCTAGTGCCCGACTAGCGCCTAGCGCCTTTAAAACATTGATAATAACAATAGGAAACTAATGCTAATACTTAAGGAAACTAACAACAACAACAACAACAATAGGCTTCCTCCATTCATATCATTACTCCCATCTTGAAAATCAATCTTGAAGCTCACAACCCATTACACATGTCTTTCCATGATCGAACAGCTTTAAAATAAATCAATCATCACCATATAAGTTGTAGCCACACGACGATGAGTAAAGGCCCCATACCCAATATCTAGCCAGATTCATCAGAATAACCTCTTGCTATGAATGTATTATTTCTTGCAACTTGGGTGTGGGCAGCAATTGGGTCTGTAATATTGATGTCTGTATTACATCAATAGTGTTGCTGATAGCGATCGATGGGTTGTTGTAATAGGACTTACCGTGTTGACAATGAAAACACTAGTGGTGATGAAAATAGTAATGACAGCTTATCCAACGATTGGTTGTGGAAAGAGTGGAGAGGCTGATGAGCTCATAGAAAATGTTAGACATTTTGGTGGAGGAGCATCCGTCAATGTGGGCACTGGAGCCGTTGTTGGCAGAGATAGAAAATCACATTGTAAATGAATGTTATCTTGACGTCTAGCTATAAAGAAGTTCACTTGAGTCTGGGAAGGTAAGCCCTTGGTGCTTGCCAATGAACACTAAACATTGGAACTGGTTGATATACTCATCTAGAATACCTATTTGCTGAAGTTAGGTTAATTCATCCTCCGGTGATGGAACCTTGTAATGTATCCTCATAGAACAACAGTTATCATGAATATTTTTCCCGAAAAAATCCAGTTACGAAGCAATTGTATCCTGGATGGAATTCAAACTTCAATATGTTGGCCCGGTTTGCGCGCGAAAACACTATAAATCATACTCAACAATGGAAGAACATAGATTATAACTGAGACACGTAAAGTCCAAGAGCTCATTTTTCTGATTTTTCCCTATTTCCTTTTCCAAACTTTTTTCCCTTTTCCTCTTTTTTAGGGATTTTGTTTAAAAGAAATAATAGCGCAGAATATTTGTAAAAGGATGCCAAGTGCCTAACCTTACATAAGGTGGAACCAGTACTTCAACTTTTGAGTCTCTGCACCAGTGTGCTACTTTTCTCTCTCTTTTTTAAAGAAACAGCCAGAAGAAAATAACAAACCTAATTTTAGGGATAATAAGTTGATGTGTACAGCGTGATGGCTCCTGGAAATTTGCTTTCGGGGAGAAAGGCAGCAGATCGTTGAAACATCACAAGAGTGATGGTTCCTGGAAATTTGCTCTCAGGGTGGAAGGCAGCAGATCGCTTTTACAAAGTTTCCCCTCTAATAGAGTGAGTTACAAAGTCTTTTGGGAGACCTTGAAATCAACCGCGAAAGTCTTGACCTCTTTCCGCGTGACACTTATAGTAACAATGGTTATGACCATTTTATTCTGGTGCAGTGATGGACTGTTTTAGATTAGCCAGAAGAACGTTAGCCTGAAGGAAGAGTGGTCTATGAGAAATTGGATGAGTTCTGTTCTCACATCAGACGGCTCTGTTCAACACAGAAGGCTTTTCTAATCAGACGAGTCGTTCAGCACAGAAGGCTTCTGATCAGATCATCAGTTAAGTGCTGAGTGAACAGACTCTTCTATATACAGTCAGCAGACTTATGTCCTATGAAAGGAGTTCTACTGATTTGGTTCAAATGGCGTTCTAGACTATACAAGGGTTGTTTAATGCTTAACGGAGCATCTGTTTGTGGACTTGATGGTATTGTTTGAGTTTTGGTTGAGACCATAGTTCAGCAAAGTCTGTTTTAGAGAAATCCGTTTCAGAACCAGAGTTGATAGGACTGTTGTTTAAGTCAAATGTGGTTGGAACAGATATGGAGGAAATCTGGTTTGTTGTTTTATACTTGGGATGAGAACTGACAAATGTTCAACTTGACTGGGTATACAGATATGCTCTGTATTAGTGCAGTCAGCTTTTTGTAGCAAGCTTTTCTAAATATAAACCAGTAGGGCTGTAGGAGTAGTTTGTGTGTGTGATTGAAAGTGTTTGAAAATAAAGGATGCAAGGAATTTATCCTGGTTCAGAGATGGTGTAATCCTCTTACATCCAATCCCACCATTAAACCATTCTTCTAATACACTTATTGTCTAGTCTAGCCTTAATCACCCAGCCGGCCTAGACTGTCAGGTTTTTCACAAGGAGTACAACACCACTTCAAGTTACTTAGTCTTATAGATTTTTCACTAATGAACTTGTGAAGTTCAAAATTACTCAATCCTTTTCTACCCACACTTCTGGATTTGATCACAAATCCCTCCAGAGGTATAGGTATATCCGTATATACAAAGTTTAGTTTATAGAGAAGTCTAAACTTCAAACTATGCTAAGCTATCAATGTTTTGTCGTGAGCATTTCTATCTAAGAACTTGAGAGTGTGAGTGAACTAAGAGCGAAGTGATGGATTATCATTTTCTCTTTGCTTGACCTTCGTATATGCATGTAGTGAATTGCTTTAACTCAACTATTTTGCTTGCTTCGCACTTCCTCTGTATTTATAGACTTCCGGTGTTGATTCTTATCCGTTGGTGAAGATGAATCAATTCTGATTGTTTGATTGTACAGACTGACAGATGGGTGTAGGTATGGTGAGTCGTTGTCATCTTCTTCAAGTTGGACTTTTATTTCCGAGCAGTGCAATCAACATGCTTGAAATTGCGGTTATGTCTTGAAGCGGTGCAATCGGGGACAAGGCGGTCCCTTACACTATTCAATTTGTTTATTTATCCTGTACACAAAAATTTGTTACATAATTTTACACGGTGTCACGTAAACTTACCTATCGATTTTACGTGCAACCAACTGATTTTCTTTTTAATGGTACATTTTGTAACACCTCGGCCCTACAGGACCCGAGGTAGTTACTCCAGTATTAGCTGTCCTCACAAACCGCCACTAGCCTTTTACGCGCACTTTGTCCTCACTCGTGAGTGCCCTGAGAAATTTCTCAGGGGGTCACCCATCCCAAGACTACTCCCGTGCAAGCACGCTTAACTTTGGAGTTCTTGGCTAATGAGCTCCCTTAAAAGGAGATGCACCTTGTTGGTATGAGTAGTACTATTAATCCGTTTATATTAAATCTCAAGTGTTACAATCACCCCCCACTTAGGATCGCAACGTCCTCGTTGCGCCCTTAAACTAATCTCAATCAAACTCCAGGATCTTTTCCCCTGCTAAGTGCATGCCCGATATCCAACGGATCAGCACACTGTCGCAGGGTTGCTCTGATACCACCTGTAACACCTCGGCCCTACAGGACCCGAGGTAGTTACTCCAGACCTCTAATACTGTCCTCACAAACCGCCACTAGCCTTTTACGCGCACTTTGTCCTCACTCGTGAGTGCCCTGAGAAACTTCCCAGGGGGTCACCCATCCCAAGACTACTCCCGTGCAAGCACGCTTAACTTTGGACTTCTTGGCTAATGAGCTCCCTTAAAAGGAGATGCACCTTGTTGGTATGAGTAGTACTATTAATCCGTTTATATTAAATCTCAAGTGTTACACATTTTTACAAGATAATTAAATCGGTCAATTAAAGTCAAATACTGAGGCATCATCAAAATTTAAGGGACTTAGGGACCTAACAAAGTGTCTGTTGATTCCACCAAGGGCACAAGATGAATTGTTTCTCCAAAAGATAGATGATTTTATTAATGAATATAGCCCCCTATTTATACTAGTCCCAATAGTCTTGTGTTAGAGCTCCAACCTGTACACAGTGTTTTACGCAGTACAAAGGAGAACAACAATGGCGGAAACGAGAGAGATAGTATTGATAATACGTGTAACAAACAAGAGAGAGAAAGTCTGGCAGTTTTAAGAGGTGCCCCTCTCCAAGTCCCAGCCCAAAACAGAAGCCAACACCAGCCTGCTTTATTACAATAGCCACTGTCTATTTATAGTAATCCCCCCCCCCTTCCCTTCTACTTCTTATTTCTCCTTACATAGACTTTATCAAAATAGTTATTATTATTATTCTGTTGGATACCTGGGGTCCTAACATCGCTCCCCTCTGGGACTGCCACCTTGTCCCCAAGGTGGAAATTAGGAAATTGCTTCAGGAAGTTTGTCAGCTCCTCCCAAGAATCTTCAAACTCTGGCAGGTTCTCCCAG